ACACAAGCACACAAGAGTCTCTTTTACAGCTATCCGGCTGAAGTCCAGATACTCTGCTATGCTAGAACCTTGAGCACACAGACACGGAAACATGCAAGTGATACGTGCAATCAAGAATGCCCGGAATGTGTAACATTCGGTACTTCACCCCACCCCGTAGTAGGGATTTTAGGCGTGTCGGGGTGGGTGTGCGCTCTCTCTCTCTCTCTCTCTGTGCAGCTCTCTGTGTCTCTAGGATCTAAGACTGCCCAGAATTCCCCACCAGATGCCAGGAGTTCTGTCTTCTGGTCAAGTTTGAACCCTGCCGAGGGCTTGGTATTTCCAAGGGTGTCCCAAACCATTAGCCGACTCCTCAGACCCAACCTTAAAGGAAAATGCATTTTTGCCCTAGGTTGGGTACTAAGAGGGGTCCAAAAAGCGAAAAACTCACAAAAACGGACCTTGGCGGACCCTCCTATTGCTCTTTATGCTTTGAAGCTTTCGGGTATTTGTGACTCGGATCAGAAAGAACAACTCTTGGTACTACTAGTGGTGGTGATCTCAAAAAACTGGTGTACCGCTGAATTCGTGTTTAAGCACTGGTACTTCTTTCTGAAGGAGCTCTCTTCAAGTCTGAGAAGGCTCTAAGGCTTGGATCCTCCTCAACGGGCCGGCTCTGAAAGAGGGACCCTGGAGCTTCCAGTACGACCTGGACCTGATTCCTGTTCTTTCCGGCCCTTTTGTCTGAGGCTACTTAGGCTACTTAACCTGCCAGGAGTTCCATACTCAAATCTTTCTTTGTCGACTTGTCAAGTGATTAGCCGCGTGGCTGTAGCTGCTCCCGCGCACGACGTCCTTGTCTGTCCTGCACGACAGCATGCGAGATCGTGATCCGTCCCAAATTCGGTGCAACACCGTGCGAAAGGGCAGCATCACCCGGTCCAGGCAAATTTCTCGCGCTTCTCCCCGGCCAGCTGTGAGGCCAGCAGCGTCGTCGGCGCCTGAGACCGTCAGCCTCAAATCTGCGAAATTGGGCCTTGACTTCGGCCTCCTTGTCGGAGCGCTGGACGAGGTAGGCTGTCACCGGGGCGCCGCCGGTGTCCTCGATGCTTCGTCGTTTTTGTGGCCTCTGAACCGAAGAGTCCGGGGCCGCCTCTGGCGCGGTCCACTCGAGCGAGATCCCCCGGCCACTGGCGGCCGACACCCGCAGAGCGCCCACCTTGCCCGGAGGGCCTCCGCGCCGGAAAAGAGGGGAAATGCTCGGCGGCTAGGCTACGGATCTACGCATGGGCTTGGGCTCGCTCGGGCTCTCGGGACTGCCCTCTTGGGCCTGCCGCTTCCGTCGTGGCAGAAGCGGTGGGGCTCGCACTGCCCAGAGCCCCTCGCAAGCTCGAAGCTGCCGAAGAAGAGAGTCTGAGGTTGTCTTTGGTTCTGCCTTGCCTTGCGTGCTCACCGCTGCAAGGGCGTAGGTATACTCGTGGGCCGCCAGGAGGCCAGAATCGGTAAACTGCAGAACCTCAGACGACTCCAAACAGAGCTCAGAGACAGGGCGCCGCAGTCGAGTCCCGAGCCGCCGAGGCCAGGGATGCCACCTGCTTGCCGTTCCGGAAGAGCCGGTAGCCTCTGTGCACAGACACGACCCCATCTCTGTCCGAAGCCTAAACTACTTGCCTTTCACGCTGGAGGCCGCCGGTCGCCAGGAGAGTGCGACGGAAGTTCGGGTCACCGCCGTCTCACAGAGAGCTAAGGCTGCCGGCTGAGCTCTCTCTCTCTCTCTCTCTCTCTCCCGAACCAAAGGAGGAAGGCGGACGCCATCCCCTTGCACGCACCTCTCCCTCTCTCTCTCTCCGCTCTTCCTCCCTCCCCGCCCCGCCACCGCGGGTGCGTCGGAGGGTGAGGGCGGCGGCTGGAGCTTTTCCAGGCGGCCGCCGCTCACCAACCAGACCTTGGTTCAGGCAGGAGAGAGCTCCGCTGCACTGCCTGGGTGAAGCGGGGGCCCGGCGCCCTCGGACTTTGGCGGAATCCGGAAGTTCCCGCCGCCGGCCGCCTCAGGCTTCGAACTTGGCTTGGCTGCTACTTCTTTCCGTTCTCTCTCCCCGTCTTCTTTCGTGCTCGGCCTTGTCCCAGCGGTAGTGGGGCCCGCCGTCATTCAGCACGAACTCCAGGCCTCGAACCTCTTGCGTGGGTTTTCTAAGCATTGCACCTGCCACTGTTGGGGCAGGTCTCTGCACCTTGGCAGGCAGCCGGGCCACGAAAAGTTCCCCTGCACCTTCCAAGTCCTCTGACAAAACTTCTGCAACAGCGGCGGCGGTGAGCAGCGGTCTCCTCGGCGGCTGCCGACGCTGCGAAGGGGAGGCCTCGGTGAGGACGCGAAGAAACTAAAAAACCTCCGCAGCTCCATTCGGTCTCGGGCCGGGCAGCTGGGACCAGGTACCGGCCGTGCCCTGCAGTGAGAAGGCGGAGCCCAGCGCCCTAACGCCCTACCTCCGACGCGGCCTGATCCGTCAGCTCCCTGCAATGAAGGTGTGGGCTGGCCCAGGCACTGCGGTAGAGCAGCACGACATTCTTGCCCTCCAACATCTCCAACAGCCTCCCCACCACCAGCAAAGGGTGCTTTGCCATCCAAACACAAAGAATGCACAGAATGCAGCGTCAGTCTCGGGACTTGAAACCTATAGACACACCCGAAGCCCCCCCCCACATGTGGGTGCTCGCTCCGCGGGGCCCCGCGGCCTCAGCCCTTCGGAGGCTGACTCCAGAGCCACCGGCGGTGCAGAGGAGTCCGAGACCTCCGCCACCGCCACCGCGGCCGCGGGAGGCCTTTCGGAAAGCGAACCGCTCTGCGCACCTTTTGGCAGTCAAAGCCAGGACGCCGGCGCTGCCGTCACTGGCGCCGTCGCTGCCTGCCGGGAGAGAGCGCTTCGATGTACCGCGTTCCGCCGCTTCCCGCCGCTTTCCGCCTGCCCGAGCTTCTGTAGGCTTTCTCCCATCAGCGTCCAGGCACCGGGACCTGGCGGGCGCAGACTGCGACTGCGACTGCGACTGTGCAGTTCAAGGCTGCCCCGCCGGGTATGTGACAGTTCCCGCCGCGCACCTCGCTCGAGGTCGCACAGGGCACGACAAAGTTGGGGCTTCAGGCCTTGTGCCACTGAGATCCTCCATCGTTGGGCACGCACTCCAGAGCCTGCCAGGGGGAGACCAGGGCCCAAGGTGCGATACGCGCGGCATCGCGCGGCGCTCGGCCTGAGCAGTCGGCAGGCGGAGCGCCCACCAGCCGTCGCGGTGCGGAAACCCGTCAAGTCCGCTGGGCTCCATCGCCTCAGCGGAGCGCGTCTCTCATCCCCCATTTGGAATCCCCCCGCTCTCAGACCTCGCCAGGAGGGCTGGTCCAAGGCTCAGCCTGCGAAGTTTCAATTTCAGCCCAACAAAAAAAAGACCCCTTTGGCAAACCTTGCCTCACTGGGGCGGTAGTGCAGACGCGGCTTGGCCCAGCGGCTCTGGAACAGGAACACGATGCCCCCCTGTGCCGAGCAGACCCCCTGCATGCCCTGCATGCCTGGGCTGTAGAAGTGTGAACGTGAGCCTCCTTGGCCATCTCCAATGCGTCACCAGTAAGCTGAGGTGCCTCGACAAGAAGCAGCTCACTCGACCCCTCGCTTCCAGACGTGCCAGCACTTGCGCAGCCTCGGGCGCAGTCGTTGCCGCCGTTCCTTCGGCCCAGCGCCGAAGTTTGCCGTCGCGCAGCAGAAAAAGCCCAGGCCCGTCAGCCACAAAGTTCGCACCACCGTTCCTAAAAGGAGAAAGGAAACCAAAAGCCCCTCCAACAGCGCACCGGCGGCACATGTTGCGCAAGCGCATGTCACAAGAGAGAAAGAGATGGTCACGAGACGATCGGTACAGGGAAAGGCGCACAATGCGTTCGTAAAGAAGAGAACATGTGCTTCCCCGCAACTCGCTTGCCAAGCCACTTCTGCCAGTTGTTGTAACCATCGTTTAGAAGGAACCTGGGCTCAGCTTGCATATTACTTTTAGACTTGAGCAGGAGTGCATGCAAGGTCTGCATGTTTGCTGCGTGCGACTCCCCGCCGAGTTCGCTGCTCCAGCTTCCGGGTGCCCGGAAATCGCAAGGCCCAGAAACCACGGAAGCCCTCGATGCGACTGGCAGCCATCGCGAGGCCTCGCGCAAAGACCATATAAGTCCAGAGACATTGGCAGCCGAAAACGGAGCTGGACTCAGCCTGGGAGCGAGGTCCTCTCAGCAAGCGCGGACATATGCTTTGGCACCGATCCGACCGACGGAGAATCTGAGGACCCTGCCATGCAAGAGGCTGGCCAGGCTTCACCTGGTGCGCTTAGACTCTTAGAGAGAACGAGAGGTTGAAGAGAAGGCAGAATTTTTCGGTGCCTCACTGCAGTGAAGCCGCGGGGGACTCCACTCGCTCTCTGCGAGGATGGTGACGCCATCCTTCGCCAACGATTGGGGCGTAGCCGGCCCTGGATCCTCGGGCGACGTGAACTCTCACAAATCCAACCTGGGGGGCTGCCCGCCCTGCCCTGCTTCCTCCAAGCTTGCATTCTGCGAAACCGGTTCGTTTGACTTTGAAGGGCCCTCTTCGCCGAGAAGAGAGTTTCAGAGTTTCTCAAAACACCGTACGAACTGAGCCATGAAAGAAGTCTTTCTCACACCGGTGACTTGTCTGGCTTTAGCGTTAGTGTGAGCAAACCCGTCAAACGCAAGATCGACGTTCACGCGTCGTCCTTTCTGTGCGGATCCATAGCGTCCGTATCTATCCAACGGACCGAATCCGCAAGCTCCTCATCATTTGGACTATAGTCAGTCCTGCTCACACAGATCACCAGCCTTTTCACATTTCTTTCCCGGCTATTTCAATTTCAATAGTCAATAGAGGAACGTTTGTCCGAGTGCTTGGAACACCTCGGATTCTTCAGAGTCTCCTCCAAGACTTGCAGTCTGTGAACCAGCTCTGTTTCATGAACTGGGCTGCTGAAGCTTCACATCTCTTACAATCCAGTGCTACTGCTGCCCGCAGCGCGTCTCTGTCTTCCACGCCAGCTTGTTGAAACATTTACATTCTCTTTGTCTTGCTCCCACAGCGCTGGCATAGACAGGAAGATCATTCCGTAGACACAGAACCATGTCACAAGACACATCAGAACCAGGGACTTCCTCCATCTTCCAACCGGATCTGGAGAGAGACGTCTTTGACGGCGTGCAGTCCACATGTGTCTAGAGTAATCGCTTCTCCTTGATATCGGCCGTAGCCGAGGTTCGAGAGGCTGGGTGCTTCTTCTTTGTGTGTTGCGGATGCAGGTATGCTTCCTGTGCCATATGGCGGTATGGCGTGATCTGCTCTTGTTGCTGTATTTTCCTCCACCAGCACTGTTGCCGGGACAGGTGGGAGAGGCTCCCAACCTGTATAGAGCTCCTTGCTCTTGCTCCACCAAAAGAAACAGGTTCTTCGGTGGGCTGTTCTTTGATCCCAGGATTTCTGCTTTCAGGTCTTCTGTTGCAACATACAGAATACAGCCCCTTACTGTAAGGACTTCTCCAGCGTGTCGTGGCTCGGAACTCCCAGTCATGGACATCCCGAACCGCTCCTCCATACGCGAGGAAGGCAAACTTTGTCAGATCCGCGAATCGAGATCGGCTGCCGGAGGCAAGCTCTGGCCCCAGCGGCCGAGAGCTCCGCAAGGCCCGAGAAGAGTGTCACTCAAAACGCTGTTGAGCGATACGCGACGCCGCGACGCGCTGCAAAAAAGAGAGGTCTTTATCACATATCCGACATGTCCCTATCCCTCAAACCTCAGACTCGCACCTCGAAGTCCAATGGCGCCGAGAACCGCGCCCGGGCACGCTCCAGCAAGCTCGGCCGCCTCAGAGCGAGAGTCCGACCCCGCAACCAAGCCGCCTCTCCCTTCCCTTTTCTTCAGTGCTCCGCTCCCTGCCGCGCTCTCTCTGGGCAGGGGGCGAGTGCAGGAAAGCGAAGGCAGCCCGAAGCAGCTCGTCATCGCCTCGCCGCGAGCGGCTGCCGAGCGCCGTCCGCTGCCGACAGTCACCGGCCCCGGCTCTGAGCGCTGGGCCCAGCTTCTCGAGGCCTCAGAGAGCGCTGAGGCCACAGCCATAAAACACCTCTTGGAGGGGAAGGGAAAGGGCGGCATAGGTCCTGAAACCGCTGCGACACTGGAGAACAGGAGAAATGCGCGAGACGTCACCGCGAGGCTGGGCCCACGAGCAGCCTCCCAGCGTCAGCAGCTCCGCACTTGCGCTGCCCGCCTCGCAAGGCCGCAAGGAAGTGTGAGAGTCGGGCCCTTGTTTAACGCGCGTCGCGCAGCCCGCTCGAAGGTCTGGGCCCCTCCCTGGCCTGGCCCATGGCCGCGGCAGCCCAGCCCAGCCCGGCCCGCCCTCGCCCACTCTCTCGAAGCCAAATTGCTTTGGTGAGCTCACATAAGCATGCAGGTGCACGTGGTCAGAGCGCTTTACGAGGCACGGGGACAGCTCCCAGCCTGGAACATGAGCTTCCTTCCAAAAGGCGTTTCAGACCAACAACGCACACCTTGCGACGAAGGTGTCCTCGCTTTCACGACGAAGGTCCTTACGAGTGCGAGCTGCGTGTCACAAGAGTCTTACTGCCAGCAGCATCACTTCCGCCAGGTATGAAAAAACACTGGGCTCTCTTGGTCTGATCTGCTTTCACATCTCCAGCTTTTCCAAGCGGCATACGGTACCGACACCATTCCGGCATGCCCTCGGCTCCCCTCCCAGCTGAGCTTCGAGCAGTGGCGTGTACATACGTCCAAGCACCACATTGGCCCATGCTTCGCAGGCTTCGCACTGCGCATGCCTAGTTGGATGTACCTTATCAGTGGTCATGCACTGATTCTGATAGGTGGTGGAATGCTGCAGAGCTGGCGACGTTCATCACGCCAACATGTCTGGATGCTTGCATGTGTGCTGGAAGCCAAACGCTGCATAAGGTCCCTTTACGGAGATGCGGCCCAATCCGAGTTTGACAGCAGCTAAGAAGCGGCTCCGCGGCTCCGCGGCTCCGCTGCCGAGGCAGCCGGCAGCGCACTTTTGACCACGGGCTGGGCCTCGCGGCCTCGCCTCACTCCTCCAGCTCTTGGTCCTCCTCCTGACAGAGCGCAGCTGCGCAGAGCGGAGGTTCTCGCTGTGCGGACCAATGGCTCTCTGCTTTGTGTACTTTGCCTTGAGCTGGATCTTCCACTGGATGAGCCTTCGGGGATCGACGGCCAGTCGGAGAGCCAGTCGGAAAGGGCTGAGAGCATCTGAGAGCTGCCTGACATTGAGGCCTAAGATGCCGGAGAAGAGGAGCAGCTGATTCAAGGAGCCTGCGGCGACGCAGGGCACAGAGAAAAGCAGCGAGGCCCAGGCAACCGCGAGGCCTCGCCAGGGGAGGGATCGGATGATCCGAAGCAGAGGCCGCGGCCTCTGCGCTGCGCAGCACACAAACAGCGTCCAACCAGAGTCCATGTCTCTCCCTCGCAGCGGGGAGCTCCTCGCGAAGCCTGGAAGCTGTGGCGACTGGCACCTGCAGGCTTCGAGGTGGCTTCGCTCTGAGACGGAGATTAAAAGGGGGAGAAAGAGAGAGCCGAGCCGGGCGAGCCGGGCCCGGCTCCGCCTCGGCCCCGATAGAGCGGAGTGCAGGACACGTCGCTTCGACAGAGACGTCCGCAGGGCTGCGCCCCTCACACACTGCGGAAGCCAAGGTTGGTATGTGCTGTGGAAACGAAACTCCCTGTCTGTGTCTCTGTGTGTGTGTGTGTCATCTTCTTTAGAGAGGAAGAGGGCGAGCAGGACGGAGAACAGGAACAACCAGCGGCCATCAGGCTGGCGGGCCTGGCTAGAATTTAGTACCTGCGGGTCACGACAGGATGTGGCCTGGCCATTTTAGAGAACCGGGTCACATGAGCACCGAGCCTCTGGATAACACTGACGTAGTTGATGGGAGAAGTAAACACTGACACCACGCTGCTCCCACAAGCCTTCCAATAAGCTCTCGCTTCGCGGCGTTGCATGGAAGTGCTGCTTCGAGGCTCCCTGGCTGCCTTCAAGACGAGCTTGTCCGCCGCATCCGCGCTTCCATGATCGATGCAGGCCCCAAGCACAAAGTCCATGGCCTGAGAACAGTGGCCAGATCGCCGGAAGCGATGCGTGCATCCTGCCGTTCTTGTGCCTCCTCGAATGCCGTAGAGAGAAGTGAAGCCAGAAGCCCACTGAAAAGGGAGAGAACGCCTTCTTCCCGGCCTGAGCTTTCACACTTTGCACGGAGCCGCACGTCCAAAAGGCATGCTGGACAGACTGTGACGGGGTCTACCTCTAGATGCAGACTTTGTGCTAGGCACACCTGGAAAAATCGAACTGTAGAAGCTTCATTCAACTGTCGAGTAAGACGACGAAAAAGGGCCTATGCACAGGACCTTAGATGCCGACACCAGCCGCAAAGAGTCTGCCAAGTGCTCTCCTGGCAAGATGAAAGCCTTTGGAAGCTCCAGAGTTTGCACAATACAGATGAACAGTTGGTAAAAAGAAGCCGGTGGGCACAACCCGTGGTTTACCTGTAACAGCTAAGTGCAAGGAGCTTGAGACCCTTCGTATCGTTCTGGCGGGGCTGTATATGATAGCCATCTGACTTCCAACAGCTGATGCAGAGACGGACCCTTCAGAGGTTTGCATCCTTGGACCTTGGCTTTATGCTCTTCTGGTTATTTTGCAACCATGTTGCTGTCATCAGGCTTCGGTTACCGTGTCGTATCATGATTCAGTATTTGGCAATGACATTAGTTTTCAATCAGGGAACTTCTAAGAATGCTCCATTGTGGAAAACACGGCTACAACATCTAGCACAGGCAACATTGCGGAGTTTTTCACGTATGATGCAGCGACATTTTGCGGTGCATGCATTGCTACTTGTCAGTACAGAAGCAGCTGCTCATGGGCAATGGCTGAAAAACAAGCACTTCTATGTGGGCAGTACTACAGCTGGAATACATTCCAGACAGGATGCAAGACGGAGAAAACATCGATGCGTAGAACAAGAACAATGGGACAATTTGTCAATGTGGAGCTGGTTATGCATGATCTACACTCTCGAGATCTCTTGCATGAAGTTGTTATCGTGCCAATGTTTCAAAGGAAAGTGAGATCATACAGAACTGGCGACCTATTTACAATCATCCTTGGATTAACAAATTGCATCCCACCCCTACTTTTGGAACGACAAAGTTGTGCATCAATCACCTTAGCTACACAACCAAGTCGACAAGATTGTGGAAGAAGGTTCGCAGAAAATTATATTCTTTGGGACCTCTTCGGTATTGCACCCACTACTCAATTTCACGTTTCATGGCCGTGGTTTACTTATGACGCTTGCAGCTGGAGGACAAGTGTCCTTTGATACCTCCAGAAGGTTGAGATCTTCAGAATTCAATTCCATGTCTTGGCAATGTGTTGACTGGTTAACCATATTGGTATTGAAGATCCTCCTCCAACAAGGTTTAAAAGCTGACTGAAGATGTTGTTGGAGTTCAACCTGCAAAGCCATTCTTGTGGTTTTAAATTTACATGTCAGAAGTTCTTGCGAGGTCAGCTACAACAACACAAGGAGTACCTGCTGCCCTTTCATTTACCTTCAGTTCAGGTGGCTGCTGGCAAGAAAGAGTCGATTAAAGATGTTTTGTTCAATCATTTAAAAGCGCACAAATCTTGGTCATGGACTGCACCTCCTCAATGTCCTTGCAAGCAATTTGCACAAGAACATCCCAATCTTCGGACAGTTCATGGTCATGTTGCCTCTCCTGCGTATCTTTTGAATGTATCTCGTCGACTATGTGAGATTCTTAAGTACTCTGCATCTACAGAATTTTCACCATGCCACGACATTGCCGAGTTGCAGTAAAGCGATAGTACATTATGTATCTTCGACAGCTTCTTGGCCGCTGCTATCAATGAAATTTTCCTTTATTGTCCACTGATGTATTGGCAAGTGGTACGTTCAACATTTGGATGCAAACTGAGCCGTATTTGTCTCAACAAGCCAAGCAAAGTTGGTTGAAGAGCTATGAACGGGGAACAACTTCAAGAACTTCGTCGTTACCCATTGCTTACATCCTGCTGAAGGAAAAGAAGCATTTTGAAGTGGAGAGACCAATAATCAGTTACAAGTTCTTCATCTTTGCTAAGCTTTCTCGAGCTACGGCAATGGTTCGTGATGTTCTGCAAAGGGATACCCTTTCATGTAGCTTCGGATTGAGCACCTTTCCAGCTATGATGAAGCAGATTGTTGACTTCTTTCAGTCGGTAGCTGAAGATGTTGAACTGCAATGTTTTGAGCAGGATTTGGTTGGTATCTTTACTAGCATTCCGGTGGAAAGAATTATGCAAGAAGTGGGTTGGATGCTACAACAGTGCAATCTTGATCCATTGACTTGTTCTTTCAATGCTTCCTTGCAGAAGAAGGACAGCAACCCCGGGTTTGGAAAGGGAAAACTAGAACGGCTGGGAAGCGTATGTATCAAATATTTGTTGGGACATTTATTTTGTCCATTCTTCGAAGTTCTTGCGATTCCGACAACCAGATTTCTGCCATTCCTGCAAGTATCAGTGCTGCCTACGTGGAGCATGCATGATCGCTGACAACCGAGTAATCTTGGTGGACAAGCAATGGGTTGGCCATTCTGCATTTACTTGCAATTTACAACTTTTTTGAGTGATGAGTTTTATGTTCCACCAGTACAGTTGGAACTAGTGGATACACCTAGAGTACAATGATGAATTTTTGGGTTTTGCCATTTCATTGAAGTCGACCTATGCCATTGAGATGATTATGACCAAGGATTCTTGGAAGTTTCGATTT